ACTCCTCCTTCATCTCCCCCTCCCCTCCCGTGCGGAGGGGCCTTTTTTTTCTTTTCAGTGGGGCGGAGCCTTTCCGCCCCCGTCCTGCCCGCAGCGCCCTCCGGCCTGGGCGAGCCCCCGGCCAGCCTGTCAGAAAGCGGGGCGGGGCGTTGCTCATCCCCGTGCACATAGACCAGAGCTCTGGGCAAACCTCCAGAGGCCTTGCCGGCCAGGCCAGGGTTCCCCCTCCCTTGTGGTGTCCGTGTGCGGGGTGACGGTTGGGATGCGCCGCCTTGGTGCACGTGACAAAATTCGCTCTGCACCTGGATGATTGGGGGAGGGGGGGGAGGGAGACTGAGGGGTTCGGCGTGTGGGAGGGGTCTCACCGCGGGGAGGGATGAGGACTCTGGCTGGCGATGAGCGGTTTGGAATGTGGGAGGGGACGTGGGGGGAGGTGCAGGGGGGAGGCTGTGGCTAGGGGTGCAGAATCTGGGATGGGAGATGGGCTGAGGGGGTTTTGATACAGGCTCCCTGTCCTCTCTCACTGCAGCAACTCAGGTGAAGACTATTTTCTTCCACTATTTGATCTGAGGAAGTGGGTCTGGCCCCCCGAAAGCTCATCATCTAATAAACCATCTTGTTGGTCTTTAAAGTGCTACATAGTCCAGTATTTTGTTTCTGCAGCAACTCAGGGCCAGTTAGTTGGGCGGTACCTCTCCACTGGCTGTGCCAGCTCCCGTGAGGCTGCCTTGAGCTGGGGGAGAGGTGCCTCTCCCCAGTTGCAGCAGGTTTATCATTCTGGAGACCATGGAGGGAGAACTTTGAAAAGGCACTTCTCCCCAGACCATGGCAGCTCCCTTCTGGGGCTGGGGGAGATGTGCTGCATCTGAGGTAGGGATGAAAATGTTGTTTTAAGTGGTTAATCGGTTAAAAATATTTTTAAGTGGTTAACTAATTAAAGTGGAGATGGGGGGGAGGGAGCTTGCAGTCCTCTCCTCTTTCCCGCAAACAGATGCTCTGTCTTTGGGGAGCTCAGACCCCCACACGGACAGGGGCTGCTGCCACAGACCAGCCTGGCTATGTCTACACTGGTGGCTTCTTGCACAAGAATATCTTGCGTAAGGGTTCTTGCGCAAGAACACGTCCACACTACCATGTGCTTTTGCGCAAGAACATCCATGGGAACATGGACACTCTTGTGCAAGAAAGCTCTGATGACCATTTTAGCCATAGGGCTTTCTTGCGCAAGAAACCCCTGCCATGCATCCACACTGCCCTCTTGCGCAAGAGAACTTACATCTGTTAGAAAAGAGCATAGCTCTTGAGCAAGAAGCCCTTTCTTACCATGCTTTACTGTAAATCTTCTTGTGCAAAAGCGGGCGGGCAGTGTGGACGCTTTGCGGAAGAACAGCCATTCTTGCTCAAAAACCCGCCAGTGTAGACCTACCCAGTCCCTCTGTGTAGGGTTGGGGATGTGCAAGCACATTGGAGGAGACAGAATTCAGAATTACTTTGACAACCTGGAGAATCTGTCTGAATTAAACCAGGTGAAATTCAGTAATAAGTGCAAAGCACTACAAAATCAGATTAATATTGACCTTGCTTTAGCTGCAGAATTTTGACACTGAATGTTAATGTTATCTGACCTCTGTTTCTTTTCCTAATCAAAACCATGACAATCCTTGGACAATACAGGCAGTCCCCGGGTTACATGGATCCGACTTACATTGGATCCCTACTTACAAACGGGGTGAGGCAACCCCGCACTAGCTGCTTCCCCCCCAGTAGACCACCCCCCAGCAGACCAGGGAGATGCGAAGCTAGCGCCCCCCCACCCCAGCAGACCAGGGAGAGGTGGAGCGGCTTTTCTCAGCAGACACCTCAGCTTGAGAATAAAGGACTGTGGGAAGTGAGGTGTGGGAGAATAAAACTGAGCTCTGGAGAAATGTTTGGCTAGAGTTTCCCCTACAATATGTACCAGTTCCGACTTACATACAAATTCAACTTAAGAACAAACCTACAGTCCCTATCTTGTACGTAACCCAGGGACTGCCTGTAGTTTAGTGAAGGGAGAGAGTTATGATAGGAAGGAAGGATTTGTACAAGAACTGGGTTTTCAGCAGGGATTTAGATGTGAAAGGTTTTGCTGAGTAGCAATTAGGAGACTATTTGAAACAGGTTGGAGAAGGAGATTCAGAGAGGAATAAAGTATATGTAGGAAATTAGAGATACAGGCATGGTTGAATCACAAAAACTATTGAACAACTGGGATTTGAAGTTTTATATCCTCTGAGATATGATCTTTCACACAGTTTCAATAAAGTCGAACTTAACAAATCTGTGATATATTAGATGTTAAAAGCTTGTGTTTAAATCTGTTGCCTAATTGGTTAGTTGCTGAACCAGTGAATTCTTCCCAAGCACTGGGACTGCATAATTTTTGGCCATTTATTTACATAGCAGTACCATTTTGTGTGTCCCTGGAAGATGCAATCCCTTTGCCAGTAGGGTGCTGAGGAAGAAGTTGGCATGAAGACTTCATCTTGTGGGTGTGTAGTTATTGATAGAGGGCCCAGTGAGTGATGCAGATTGTACAACTAGTTTCTTGTTGGTTACATTAGAACAGTTACCCTTTTAAAGGTAGAAACATAATTTAAATACCTTCCTTAATAGTTAATATATTATTGATAATCATCAAGTTATTCCATCACAGTGTTTTGGTCTTTGGTATATCTGGAAGCTTGACTGTAGCAGTAGTCTCTACTTTGGATATTTTAATTTGGGATTATTTTTTGGGGCCCTACTGGTTGAGCAGACCTTTGTAAAAGACAATGAGAACAATTATGAGCTTTAAATATTTACAGACAGGAGAAAATGCTGCCTAGACTGACTACTTTTCTCTGCTTTATAATCAAGCCATTGAAGGAGGACCAATGCTCTTTGTACACGTTAGTGCACTGGAGTCCTCCTTTCCATGATGACAGATTAATCAGCAAAAACTCTTTAATGTTGTTACATTCCAGGATAAAATTAACAAGGAAATGAATGAGTAAACTTCTTAATTCTTGCTATTTTCAGGTTTTGCTGCCACCGTCCCTGTGAAGTCATATGATATGAGAAGAGTTGAAATAACCCCATTGGAACAGAGAAAGTTAACCTTTGATACCCATGCCTTGGTTCGAGAGCTAGAAATGCATGGTGAGCAATACCTATTGAGTAACTCAAGTGAAATCATACTGTTACTTTCCCATGGGTTAAGGAATTCTGTTATTGGGAGTAGGCTGGGAGTTCAACCTCTTTCCAGGGTAAAGTTTTTACAGTACAAATTGAATTCATGACATTCTCAGAATTTCCATATACCATGGATGTGGATTGGACTGGTAATTAGAAAATTGAGCTAGTTTTGGGAGGAGAAGGGGTTGTTTAACTCAGACTCTAGAGAAGCTAAAGCTTTAGAATCATATCAACCTACACACAAAAGGTACGTCTACACTGCGGGGGGGGGGTTTCCAGGAAGGGAAAGAAATGTGTTGATTTTTTTTTTTTTTTTGCGGAAGAGCAAATGCGCTCTTTCAGGAAGCCCTGTATGCCTCATTCTACGAGGAATAAGGGCTCTGCCAAAAGAGGGGTTTTTTCCGCCACTTCGCCCCATCTAAACTGGGCCAAATGGTGGAAAAGTGACTGGAAAAGCCTATAGTGTAGACCTAGCCAAAGTATTAGCACTGGTAAGTAGGAGCCCTGATGGTTAAATTTTGGCCTGGTATAAACAGATGCAATGCTCTTGTAGTTAGCAGTGTTTCACATACTTATGCCCAGTCTGAATTTGCCCCAAAACATGTGTAACAATTTCAACTTATGTAAGATTCCCTTATTACTTTCATTCTTTTTTCCTAGGATGTACACGCTTTAGCAAAGGATAAATTTGGTTTATTAAATAGTGTTTGTGAAAAATACTATCCGTTTAAAAAAAAAAAAAAACCTAAACCACCTGAGGCAAATGATCAGATTGCAGATTATGCTCCTATTACGTTCTGTACCTGCAGATAGGTCTTTGGCTTTTCTATATCAAAATATAAAGGATGCACTTCACATTCAGAGCTGCAGAAGTTCAGAATTTTGAAAAGTTCCATGATCTTAAAAGTTTTGATAGCTTGGTGGTTGGTTCCATGTCATTGGCTGTATTTGCATTTGCTTACTGAGCTTTATGCTTATTGTTTAGCTTTTGCTTGCATCTCCATACAATTTTTCCTTTCATCTTAACCTGTCACCATTCAACTGTCTTTAAGGTTTTGGTAAAGAACAAGCAGAGACCATTGTATCCGCATTAACAACTTTGTCAAATGTCAGTCTGGATACGGTCTATAAGGACATGGTGACCCAAGCTCAACAGGTAATAAATCAGTGATTTGTAGTTTCCTTGTCATTTGATACATCTGTGAAGCATCATAAACACTAATAGTGCTTCATCTGATAAAGTGGGGTTTACCCATGAAAGCTCACAATCCTAAATATTTTTGTTAGCCTCTAAGGTGCCACAGGACTACTCATTATTTTTAAGTTACAAACTAACATGTCAACTCCTCTGAGACTTTATAAAATATATAGTGCATATTTTCATGTTTAAAGCAAAAGAAAACTAATGTAATGATTACTTTTATTGAGGCAGATTGTCCTAAAATCCTAGCTGATCTTAAATTGCATGGATAAGTGATATCTTGCATTACTATAGCACCTTTCATCCCACAGGAACCCAAAGTTCTTTACAAAAGTAAGAATGATATACAGCTGCTATGCAGGAATTGCCTCATCTGCTACTGAATGGCAGTCTCTAGGGTGAGAGGCAGTGGCTGTGTCTAGACTGGCAAGTTTTTCCGCAAAATCATCTGCTTTTGTGGAAAAACTTGCCAGCTGTCTACGCTGGCTGCTTTTGCGGAAAAACTTGCCAGCTGTCTACGCTGGCCGCTTGAATTTCCGCAAAAGCACAGACGATCTAATGTAAGATTGTCAGTGCTTTTGTGGAAATACTATGCTGCTCCCGTTTGGGCAAAAGTCTTTTTCCAAGAAACTTTTGCGCAAAAGGGCCAGTGTAGACAGCAGAGATTTGTTTTCCGCAAAAAAGCCCCGATCGCGAAAATGGCGATGGGGGTTTTTTGCGGAAAAACGCGTCTAGATTGGCCACGGACACTTTTCCGCAAGAAATGCTTTTGTGGAAAAGCATCCTGCCAATCTAGACGCGCTTTTCCGAAAATGCTTTTAACGGAAAACGTTTCCATTAAATGCATTTCCGGAAAATCATGCCAGTGTAGACGTAGCCAGTGAGTTTAGGACAGGAAGTGAATTTCAAGGAAGGCTATCTTGGTAGTTAATCACGATATACTGTAGATGCTTTAGGTAAGGGAAAGTAGCCTGTGTCTTTAATAGCAGCATAGATACACAGTATTTATCTTGATTGGTTTCTGATTTAAAAAACAACCAGAATTGCTTTATGATGATCTTGACTCTTTCTACATATTTGGTTCTTAGGACTGGTCTTTTACACAATTCAAACATACACCGATGCATCATGGAAAGAATCATGTTGATTGTCATCTATAACTTGTCGGTTCAAGCTGGTGCTTATACAATCCTGTGATTGTAGTCAGCCAGTAAAATAATTTGTGTCTGGAGGTACAGGGAAAGATAATTAATTTAATTATAACAAATATGTGAAATTAAAATTATCTAAATTTTAATTTTGTTGTAAAGTAGACAACTGGACCAATGTAACTCTTATACAAAATAATAGTTTACATAATCAAGAAGACACTAGGCTGAGAATTATACACCACTTACTTGCACAATCTCACTGAATGTAAGCACAAATTACTTCTCCGTTATTAAACCATGGAGTCTTATTGCCAACAGTTTTTTTTCCCCGTATTTATTTATTTTTTAATTTTTGAGAACTTTTAAAATAAATAACTAAATCATATCAGTAGAGGAGAACCCATGAACTTGTGTTTTTCCTGTTCTTTTTTATGTTTCAGTTTAATATGGAAACCTTCCTGGCTTTAAGATCTAGTTGCTAAACAAGTATAAATGTACATTTTCCTAAGACATAAATCCCAAATGTAACATCTTAGTGAATGTTAAATTTAAAAGTTCTAAGGCTGAATATTTTGACTTGGGCTGTGGAGATAATGTATCCAAACATAAGCACATCCATAGTACTGTAAAGAATTGTAGGAAACTAATACTGCGTGTGTTCAACAGAGTAGGTATCAGGCCTGATTTTCCTTTGACTTCAAAGGGAGTGGGCTGAATTGTAGTTACACTAGAACATCAGAGTTATACGTTCAGGAATGGAGGTTGTTCATGACTTTGAAGTGCTCATAGTTTTGAAATTTCCTATGCAGAAGAAAAAGGCTGCTTAGTATTTTACATTTAACACAATAGTGTGCTTTTTTTGGCTCTGTGACTGCTGGTGATTGTGTACTTCCAGTTCCAAATAAAGTATGTAGTTGTCAGTTTGTAACTCTGATGTTCATAACTCTGCAGTTCTACTGTAAGTTTGAATTGGAATTGAGGAGTATTAACTCCCTAAGTTGAAGTGAATTTAGTGCTTGTGAAAGGTGACAGTTTGATAATAGGGATTTAAAATCCTGTTCAATTGCTTAACTGGTTAACCAATTAAAAGGGGGGGGACTGGGCAGGCCCCCGGTGGGGCTGGAGCAGCCCACCGCCTGTGGCAGGCAGAGAGCTGCTCCAGCTCCCACCAATTAAGGTTAACTGGTAAGCCTCACCTGTTAAGGGTGAGGCTTACCATTTAATCGGTTAAACATTCACAGCCCTACTTAATTGATAGTGCTGGAAACTGAACTCTGTCCAAACAATAGGTAAGTCAGTGAGATTTCTTGCTATGCCTTGCCAATGTACCTTATCACATTGGGGTGAGAGAGCAGTTTGGTATCCATAACCATTCTGTGCTTGACCTCTCTTCCAAGTTTGAGAGTCCAAAGTTATAGCAAGGAAGACTCGTGGACTAAATACTTGTGGCTTTTCTATCTTCATTTTAGAATTATTTGATAAAACAGCCAAAAGTAAGGTTCTGAATCTCTTGAACAAACTCCAGTTTTTTATTGTCCGTTACTGTGTCTTTTTTATTTTATGCCTGACAATCACGTTAATGATTTCATGCACAAAGGAACTTGGCTTTCTGTGACCTATGCAAGTCTTTTTTTCCTGTTGAAATGCAATGTTTGAAAAGGTCTTGACATTTTTTAGCAAGTCTGAATGATTACTATATTATTTCCTAGGAGATAACTCTGCAGCAGATAATGGCACATTTGGACTCTATTCGGAAAGATATGGTAATCCTAGAGAAAAGTGAATTTGCCAACCTGAGAGCAGAGAATGAGGTACTACTGATTTTTTTCTAACTGAGAATACAAATTGCTAATTGAGAAGTATGCTGATATCTAAGTAGCTCTAAAAATCAGTGATACTTTCACCAATGCTGAAAACTTCGTTTACTTGTCTACGGATATAAGAGACTAGTCAACTACCCAATAAGTATATGCTAGTTGAATAGTGGCTCGACTAGTTGCTCCCCCTCCCTCCCGCTGCCTCTGTCAGAGAGAGGCAGTGGGAGGGGGCAGGAGCTGGTGCTGGGGGGAGTTGGCTTAAAAGCTAGTTCCTCCCAGTACCATCTCCAGAGGGGAAAAGAGGCAGAGGCATAGTGGGTGATTGGGTACTGCACCTCGTCCTTTTAAATGTATTAAGAGCCACCAGTTTCCCAGCTACACCTCTGCCTTTTAAATGTATTAAGAGCTGGGAGCTAACCCCACTGTGGCTCTGAGTGCTTCAAAATGAATTCCTTGAGGATCCCCTCCATGATTTTTCCGGGGACTGAGGTAAGGCTGACTGCTCTGTAGTTCACTGGATTGTCCTTCTTCCCTTTTTTAAGGATGGGCACTACGTTTGCCTTTTTCCAGTCATCCAGGATCTCTCCCAATCTCCATGAGTTTTCAAAGATAATGGTCAAAGGCTCCACTTGTTAACAGCCCCTGTTCATAAAGATTTATTTGTGAGAGATCATTATTTTCAGTGATTCAGTTCAGTCGGTATAACAAATATGTGATAGCACTGGTCTGTCTACCTAGCTAAAATGGTTAGTAATTTATTAATTCTGTAAAATCTTTTTTTTTTGTACCCAGAAAATGAAAATTGAGTTGGATCAAGTTAAACAGCAGCTAATGGTAAGTGAACAGCAAGTACCTAGAGAGTCTAATACTTGGGGAAGTGTGTAATTAGTTTGTTCTATCTTTATTCTGAAGAATGAAACCAGTAAAATCAGAGCTGATAATAAGCTGGACGTAAATCTGGAAAGGAGCAGAGTGACAGATATGGTAAGCTGATTTAAAAAGATGCATCTCAATTGACTGCTTGTATTGCATTACAGAGATTGTAATTTCTTTCCTCTTCTTCATCTATAGTTCACAGATCAGGAAAAGAATCTCATGGAAACAACTACAGAGTTTCATAAAAAAGTGAGTACGAGCTATTCTGTGTCTGACAGATTTATGGACCCAATCCTGCTTTCCTCATGGACCCAGAACTCTGAGTGGAATTAGAAGAGTTTTGAGTTTTCAACAAATGCAAGATAGCACACGACTTAAACCTGTGTTTCTTAAGCACACCTTAAAACACTCCTACACATGTACAGATATGACTATCATAAACTGGATCATGTTCTAGTGCATCCAATCTACAGTAAAACTCCAGTTGTTCGGCATCCAGTGGTCTGGCACTCTCAATAGTCCGGCACCAACTGGAACCCGGAAGTGCTCTGGCCAGCTGGACAATTGGAGCTGCTCGGCTCCCAGCTTCCCCAAGTCTTACGCTGGTCAGTTTCAGCAGCAGCGGACTTGGGAAAGCCTTAGGGCAGACACCCCAGATGCTCCGCTGCTGGTCAGTTTCAGTAGCGGCAGACTTGGAGAATGTGGGGGCAGAGCAGATGGGGTGCTGCCCATGCTGCACAGTTCCCCGCTGACCCACTCCCCCCGACCCTTCATAGCCACCCTTCTGGTACTCCGGCATATCCAATAATCCGGCACCCCCTAGGTTCCAAAGGTGCCGGATTATCGGAAGCTTACTGTTCTTCCTTTGAAATACACTCTTCATAAAACTTTAAAGTGGACAATTGGAGCTGCTCGGCTCCCAGCTTCCCCAAGTCTTACGCTGGTCAATTTCAGCAGCAGCGGACTTGGGAAAGCCTTAGGGCAGACACCCCAGATGCTCCGCTGCTGGTCAGTTTCAGTAGCGGCAGACTTGGAGAATGTGGGGGCAGAGCAGATGGGGTGCTGCCCATGCTGCACAGTTCCCCGCTGACCCACTCCCCCCGACCCTTCATAGCCAGCCCCGCGGGCGCTGTGTTGGGGACCACGGCTTTAAAGCATTATTCATGACTCTAATGCTGTGTATTGTGTTCTTGTATTTTTGCTGTATTCTATATTAACATTTCTAGCACAAATAATTCTACAGTTTATATTTATTTTAATGAAGACTTGTACTCACAAAGAATATCAGAAACCTAGGTCCTCTACGTTGGTCAGAATGTTCACACTTGCTCTCGTGTTCTTGCTGCCGCCCTTCTCACTCTGCATGTTTCAGTCACTCATAGTTGCATCTCCCATCGGTGGCTCACAAGTCTGCCTCTCCGTGCCTGTCATGTCTTCATTCATCTTTAGCCTGTTTTTGTAGTTTCTTCCCACATGTCTCATCACCAGACTCCACATTGCCAAAACTGCTCCTGACCTTTCCTCTCAAAACCCCTCCCCGTTCACTGAGTTCTCTGCAACTGCTAACAGTACCAGCATTCTTCATGTCACTTGGGCCGTGGACATCTCACGCTTTTGCTTTGCACATTAGCACTATCTAACTTCTCACTTCTTCCATAATATTTCTAATGGCATTTTTGAGTACTCTACACTTCAGAGTGTACTCACAAAGAATATCAGAAACCTAGGTCCTCTACGTTGGTCAGAATGTTCACACTTGCTCTCGTGTTCTTGCTGCCGCCCTTCTCACTCTGCATGTTTCAGTCACTCATAGTTGCATCTCCCATCGGTGGCTCACAAGTCTGCCTCTCCGTGCCTGTCATGTCTTCATTCATCTTTAGCCTGTTTTTGTAGTTTCTTCCCACATGTCTCATCACCAGACTCCACATTGCCAAAACTGCTCCTGACCTTTCCTCTCAAAACCCCTCCCCGTTCACTGAGTTCTCTGCAACTGCTAACAGTACCAGCATTCTTCATGTCACTTGGGCCGTGGACATCTCACGCTTTTGCTTTGCACATTAGCACTATCTAACTTCTCACTTCTTCCATAATATTTCTAATGGCATTTTTGAGTACTCTTCAAAATTAGGCCACTTTTATTTAGGTGCTTAAACATGATCAGCATTGTAATTAAACTGATACTGATACTGACTTATGCCATGTTTCCATGGTAAAATATATAGGAATTAATTCATTTAACTCTCTAGACAAAATAATTGCCTGTTAGTTCCCTGCCATGTAGAGTGTGTATTTTGTAGCCAGTAACTACTCTGTAGAAGGTCTTAAATATGCTATTTGAGTGATGAAACAGACCTCTCTGCTTAATGAGGGTTAAAAGAGATTTAATGTGCTAAATCGGGTCATTGCTAGAAAGACAGCATAACATAAGATATAAACCCTGAAGCTTCTGGACATAGCCAATTGTAAACTGACAGCTTAGGGGGAAATTTCCCCTTTTGGACAGATTATTTCTGACCTGTCCACTGTAAAATTTCATTGAAGAATGAACCTTTCTTTGAAGAATATGATACTAAGTCATTGTTGGGGACAGGCCGCTAGACAAAATGGGGCATGGGTCTGAATTTATAAGGCCGTTTGTGGAAGGGGGAGAGATATTATTTAAAGGTTAATCAAAATGTATATGCATGTTGAATGATCCCCATAGATTAGTTTGGGCATTTGACACAAAAATCCATGTTGAACTCAATTTTAGCTTTTTCTTTGCTATTCCTTTTTCAGAAGCTCTCTTCAGTTGCATTACATACTGCTCTGCTTATGTTCTAAGCTCATGTATAAGCTACACCTCAAGTTGAGGAAGCAGAAATTGAAACCCAGAGATATGCCATGTCTTGTAATGTATTTCAGGATTCAAGTACCAACAGTGCTATTGCAGAAATCAGTAATAAAATTGATACTGAAATAGCCTCCTTAAAAACTCTCATGGAATCGAATAAACTGGATACAATACGTTATTTGGCAGGTATGATGGTGGGGAGGGGTATTAATACTATACTGTGTTTCAGAAATGTAAAATTTGATTCAAAGTGTGTGTTTTAGGAAGCTCTGTTCTTGGAAAGCTCCATTTGTAGCCTGGTCATAGTTGCTGAGTCTTTTCACATTAAAACATAAGCAGCAAACTAAGCAAGCATGTGTATATACATAATTATGAAGATAAGACCTTAGATGTATCTCTCAAGAGACCAAATTAAAGATGTGGTCTCTAGGCTAAAGAGTTTAGTCTCACATTTGGTGTGAGAAGGGATCAGGTAAATGATGGAAACGATTAAAGCAGAAAGGTCAAGAGGTCATTTGTTCTACTATTGGACATCTCTTGTTTAGCTTTTTTCATAATTTTAAAAAATGATTATTTGCTGTGAGAAAACTAGTGGAGGCTTATCATTGACTTCCCTGGGATCACAATTGGGCCCAAAATTGGTATAAAAGGGACATGAGTAGTGGATTGCTTACCTTGCCTCAGTCCAATGACATTGATCCTTGCTGCAGAGGTGCACTAGTGAAAAACATCCTGGGTGCTCCTCAACCACTAATGAATTGTTCTGGAATTAAAGGCTCATCTATAGGGAATGAAGTGAAATATCCACATATTTTAACTGGTTAAAAGACAGGAAACAAAGGGTTGGAATAAATGATAAGTTTTCCAAGTGGAGAGAGCTAACTAGTGGGGCCTCCCAAGGGTCTGTCCTGGGACCCATCCTATTCAATTTATTTATAAATGATCTAGAGAAAGGGGTAAACAGTGAGGTGGCCAAATTTGCAGATGATACCAAACTGCTCAAGATAGTTAAGACCAAAGCAGACTGAGAAGAGTTTCAAAAAGATCTCACCAAACTAAGTGATTGGGCAACAAAATAGCAAATGAAATTTCATGTTGATAAATGTAAAGTAAAGCACATTGGAAAACATAATCCCAACTATATATACAATATGATGGGGACTAATTTGGCTACAAGAGAGAGATCTTGGAGTCATTGTGGATAGTTCTCTAAAAACATCCACTCAGTGTGCAGCAGCAGTGGGAAAAAAGAAAATAGACTGTTAGGAGTCATTTAAAAAGGGATAGAGGAAAAAACAGAAAATATCTTATTGCCTCTATATAAAATTATGGTTCACCCACATCTTGAATACTGTGTACAGATGTGGTCACCTCATCTCAAAGAGATATTTGCATTGAAAAAGGTTCAGAAAAGGGCAACAAAAATGATTAGGGGTTTGGAGCGGATCCCATCTGAAGAGAGATTAAAAAGACTTGGACTTTTCAGCTTGGAAAAGAGGAGATTAACGGGGGATATGATAGAGGTCTATAAAATCATGACTGTTGTGGGAAAAGTGAATAAGGAAAAGTTACTTACTTATTCCTACAATATAAGAACTAGGGATCACCAAATGAAATTAATAGACAGCAGGTTTAAAACAAACAAAAGGAAGTTTTTCTTCACTCAGCACACAGTTAGCCTGTGGAATTCCTTGCCAGAGGATGTTGTGAAGACTAGGACTTTAGCAGGGTTCAAAAAAGAGCTACATAGATTCATGGAGGTTAGGTCCATCAATAGCTATTAGCCAGGATGAGTAGGAATGGTGTCCCTAGCCTCTGTTTCTCTGGAAGTGGGACACGGGAGGGATCACGTGAGGATTACCTTTTGTGATCCTTCTTTCTGGGACATCTGATGTAGGCCACTGTCGGCAGACAGGATACTGGGCTAGATGGACCTTTGGTCTGGCCTTTTTTATGTTCATATTCTGAAGGGGTGATAGTGAGAGTTGGTCTGCTCCAAAAAGCCTTAAAAACTTATGACTTCTATTTCACAGAGATATTGATATATAAGAAGATCTTGAGCTTGAACAATGTACCTTAAGTGCAAGCAGCCGTAAACTTTCCCAGTCAGGCTTTCAAAGAAACATACTTTCTGAGTTCTCTCTTGGTTTGAAAATGTTTTTACAATTGTGTAATGAAAACTGCCCCAATTCCCATTAATAGTTTCTGTACATCCTTCTATCTGTGGCAAAAATTAATTATTTTCATGCAACACAAGGTGAGGATGAGTGTTATGTTAATTATTTCCTTTCTTTTTACAGCTTCTGTTTTCACTTGCCTGGCAATAGCATTGGGATTTTACAGGTTTTGGAAATAGGCATAAGTGGAACTCCTGCACTACAGATAAGGAAGAAAAAGCCACCCAGATCATGGAACATCTGTTAGATCATTCTCTGTTTGCCACTGTGAATATTCTTAGTGCCTTTGTTCTTATATTGATTCTTAATGTGTACTAAAAATATTCTCTAATACTAAAAGGTCAAAATAGTTAAGGGCAATAACAGAGCATATGGAAACCTTTCCTTGACTTCTAATGGATTCTTCATTTGCCTTTTTACAAAAGCCTCCTACAGAAGAAACATTGAATCCCTGTTTACATTAAATAGAAGAAAATTTTGAGGCATAGGAACCAAAGAACATATCCCATGATTAATTTTGGAAAGGCTTTGTTCTCTTGAACATTTATCCCACTCTCACATCCTTGCCAAAGAAAAGTGTTTGCCATCTGATGTGACAAAATGTGAGGTTGTCCTACAGAGGATGATGTGAGGATGATAATTTCAGACTTAAACAGATCCTACTCTGAGACTTTGTATTCCATCCCAGTTCTTTCCCCTGCTGGGTTGAGGTATGTCCTCCCCCTTTATAAAACTATTAGAGTAAAGCCTTTTCAAAAGGGTCCCTTTCCAAGCCTAAAACTGAGTCATAGATTCAGAATGATCAGTAGCTGTAAGACTAAAAAGCACAGTCCTTCTTTGACCGTTTTCTTCACCCATACAGCCAAATTAGTTAATTTTTTTTCTTATTTCTCCTTTCTGAGGGGAAATGTCACATTGGCAGTGTGTTTATATAACTCCCTGAGCAAGACTCAGGTTGACTTTTAACTCTTTTCCATTGCTGGAGGCACAGAACTTGCCTTTATAGTATACACGCTTTACCTGAAAGCAAAATCTGGTTTGAAATGTGGAAATCTTGCATTTCTGCAAGAAACTGTTGATGCTCCTGCCCCTAGATCACTCTTGAAAGGAAGAGAGTACCACAATTCCTTGGGAAATAAAGTAGATCCCATTGATTGCTTTGAACCAAACTTAAGCTACATCTACACTATAGCTGGCACCCTGAGATCAATGCATCGACAGTCAGTTTAGCTGATCTAGTGAAGATCTGCCAAATTCACCACAGATCACTCTCCAGGCTGTACTTGATTCCTGATTATTAGAGAGGTATGTCAGCGGGAAAGTGTCTCCTGTTGACCCAGCACAGAGGAGACCCTGCAGTAACTTGCCTTGAAATGTGTACTTTTGGTCAACTTACTGCAGTAGTGTAGACCTGCTATCTCTTAATTTCTGCCAGTGGCTGGTGAAGTTCAACATTGACAGGATAGGGTAATATTTTTCCAACAATCTCATTTTATTCAAGTCCTCATCACAAGTAAGGATGTGAGGACACGAGAGAGAGATTATTTTTCACCACAAATGTAATAAATTAACAGTGTCAGTGCCTAATTCTGTTCTTTAAAGGTAACTGTATTCCTGTTGAGTAAATTGAAACTCTCGAGTAGCCTCTATTGGGGAGAGAGGTTCTATATACAGCACGGCATAGGGGCACATTCAGATGACTGGTTTACTATTTTCAAATTTAATTTACTTGTGTCCATTTATGAGATTATGTATTTAAACAATCCCTTGTAGCAAAATAAAATTTACATTGCTGTCTAAGACCTTTGAGTACAATTAAACTTGTAAAACTGAAACAATGTATCTTATGCATCATTATTAAAATCCACATAACAGCAAACTCCCATGTGAGTGAGGATTTGGCACAGCTTGATTATTTACACAAGCAGGTATCTGTAGGATGTTATATATTGTCATTAAGCTGCCCCATCCCATTTCCTTGTCATTTGAATTATTTTGCCATTGGACTGGAAAGATGTCAATGTCCATGTCCATGTCATAGTGAAAGACATAAGAGTTTGGATAAATAAGAATACCTGGTTGGGTGGCTCAGTTTGCACAACTCTGCGAAAGAACTTCACACATTTATATCTTCTGATCTAAAACACTTATCCATTATGGGTAAAACTTTCAAAAGTGATTTAAGCACTAAGCTTCTAATTTTCATTGAAAGTCAAAGGGACTTAGGAGCCTAGCTCACTTCTGAAAATTGAACTTGAGCATTTGAAAAAACTTACCTTATGATTTGCTAACCAGTCACTTCTGTGTGCTCGTATAGAAAGGGGAAAAAAATCTCCATTTTAGAAAACTGGATTTCTGAGCTTTAAGATCTAATTTAAAAAACCAGGTATATAACTAGTCAAAACTATAAGGATTAGAAAACATACCTGCTGTTAAACATTAAGCTGCAAATATACTCTATGCATGTAACTAGTATCTTGAGGCTAGCCTACCACTGTCAGGGTAGAGCTGTTCCATAACATTTCCACTCCCTCTAGTGCCATATCAGAATGTATATTGAAAACAGAAAGGAATAAAAGATAACCCTTGTTGTTTAGCTCATGGCAATACTGTCTAATATGTCTCTGTTCTGACAGTATTGGAAGGCATTGCATATCCCGTGTGAATGCCCTTCTCTAGGTCTGCCTGCCACTCTTGACAAGATGGATGCAAAACAGCAACTCTCCATTTGCACCTCAGTATCGTCTCACAAACACTCCGCCAGGGCTGCATGGTGCCTTTTTCTTTATTTTCTTTTTCTCTTTGCCAAAATCAGAGGCAGTCTCACCTTCCTAAAAAAAAAGGATATAAAGCCATTAAACTGCAGTCACTCACCCATACCTGTTCCATAGCAAGGAAGGATTTTAAATCACAAACTCCTTTGAACATTCACAAAATACTGTCTTACAGGATAAAGTATGCAGTAATAGCCAAGATCATGGCTTATTCTAACACACCTGGTTATTGAGCTTGTGGTTTGGATAACAAGCCACTGGCATGACCCTTATATCTCATTTTAATTTTTCTTCCCTTCCACCTAACTTCACATACCCTGCCAGCACTGTCTTCACTCCCAACTATCTTACGCTTCTGCCTGGCCCCTGTTATTTGCCTAATGTGAGACATTGAAGCAGGTAGAGGTGCCACTTCCCTATTAACAATCCCTTCCTGGGCTAGATACATCTTTAACATATATATTCAGTTTCCTGCTCCTGTCAGTTTTAAGAGGAGTAAAGACTTAAAAAGTGTAGCAGTTTCAGCTAAGCAGAACTTTCACTTCAGCTCTGGTATGATTTGGTACTGTCCACAGGAAACTAGAAAGCTGCCAAGTATATTTTTAAATGCCACTTGTTTGTCCTTAGCAACCAAATCTCACTTTCAAACTCCAGCTTGTACTTTTCATTAGATGCACTTAAAATACTGTAGGGCTATGTCTACACTGGCAGCTTCTTGCACAAGAACGACTGTTACACAAAAACTTGCCTGCTGTCTACACTGCATGCGTGTTCTTGCACAAGTAAATTTACAGTCTAGCATTGTAAAACAGGGCTTCTTCCAGAAGAGTTATTCCTCTCCCCACAAGGAATAAGACCTCTTGTGAAAGAGCTCTTCTACAAGAGGGCAGTGTAGATAGGTAACATGAATTTCTTGCACAAGAAGCCCCTATAGTTGAAATGGCCATCAGAGCTTTCTTGCACAAGAGAGCATCTACACTGCCATGGATGCTCTTGTGCAAAAGCATATGCCAGTGTAGAGGCACTCTTGTGGAAGACTTTTTGCTCAAGAACTCTTCCACAAAACAGTTCTTGCGCAAGAAGCTGCCAGTGTAGACGAAGCTCTAGCTGTTTGGGAACTCTCGAAAAATACCTGCTTTGTTTTTCTGCATCTTTAACTGAGGTCTGTTGCTGAGTGGGGGGCAGCAGAGGGGTTTGGGTGGTACTCAGAGATTGCATTATCTCTGCATACCCTAGAGAATGAAATAAAACTAGGGGCTTAAGCAGTCTTTATTAAACCACTGCAGTCAAGCAGACCCTCAATGTTAGTGGACCCTGAACTATCTCCAAAAATTGAGGCAAGTCCCTATCAAAATACAGCATTAGCAAGAATACTGCTTCCAGCCAGCTCCCTGCGACTCCAACCACAGGGCTCACCTGGCAGGCAGGGCTCCACTCCCAGCCAGCATAACTCACCAGCCATTCCTGCCCTGGTTGCCAGCCTACTGGCCAGGTTCCCTGCCCCTGGGCCTCTGCCCCTTCAGGCTGCGTGCTGCCAGACTGGATGAGCTCCCAGCAACTGGCAACCTCTCTGTCTGGGGATCTCTGGTCCAGCAACATCTGCAGTCCTGCCAAACCACAGATGTTGCCAGACCAGAGCCCCAGACCACAGAGGTTCAGCCTCTAACATTGATCTGGGCATAAACTTTTGTGGGTAAAAACCATTTCATCATCTGAAGTTGTTTTTACCCACACAAGCTTATGCCCAAATAAATCTGTTAGTCTTTAAGGTGCCACAGGCTTCCTTGTTGTTTTTGCAGATATAGACTCACACAGCTCTACCTCTCTGAGAAAATAACATTCCTAACTACAACTGTGCTGTAATTTTAGTGTCTGGCCAGAAGAGGGCAGTGGGAGAATTAAACTAAGTTCATTAATACAGGTGGAACCTTGTTGGCAAATTTCAGGCAATGTGCACACAAAACACCAGGGCTACGTCTACATTGGCAAGATTTTGTGCAAATACTTTTAATGCAAGAGTTTTTGTGTTAAGTATTTGCGCAAGACAGCGTCTACACTGCTATGTGCCTTTGCGCAAGAGATGTGCTTTTGCGCAAAAGCATCCGTGCCAGTGTAGATGCTCTTTTGAACAAGAAAGCTCCTATGATCATTTTAGCCATCGGGCTTTCTTGCGCAATAAATTAACATTGCCTGTCTACATTGGCCTCTTGCGCAGTCAGTGCAGTGTTAGGATGTCAGTGTTCTTGCGCAAGAACTCCCTGCCAGTGTAGACGGGCAGCATTGATTTATTCTCTGCTTATGTGGGAAAGGTTTTCTTTGCCCATGGGCTAGAAACTATGGGGTGTAAGAAAGCAGGGATTGTGGACCAGAGTTCTGTAGCAAGGGGTAGATTCTGTTGTATGTGCCAGGGCTTCTACATAATTTTTTGCTGTTGTTGGGGACTAGAGGAATTGGCTTTTTTCCTGCACTTTCCAAAGCAGTACCTGACAGGATGGGCTGTGGTCTGATCCTGTGGGTCATATGTACCATGACTATGTTGTTTATATCTTGGGTGTTAGGCCCAGGCCCATCGCCAATACCAGGCATGTCCAAAGTCCGGCCCGCGGGCCAAATGCGGCCCGCGGTCGGATTTAATACGGCCCCCCGCTTCTCCCGGCTCCCCGGTGCTTTTTTTAACTGGCGCGCTCAGCGCGCCGCTTCGGGCCGCCGCCGCGGTCCCAAACCCTGCCCCTGCACTCCGCTTTGGGGCTGAGAGTGCAGGGACAGCCCCCGCTTCCTCCCCCTCTCCTGGCTCCCCGGCGCTCCTCTGACTGGCGCCGCTTCCGGCCGTGCCGCCGCCGTCCATGGCGGCCGCTGCGGTCCTAAAGTCCACCATGTAGGGCACGTCCGCAGCCCCGCTTCCCCGCTTGGCTACGGGTTCGCCCTGCCCCCGGGCCGCCGTGAGGCCAGCGTGCCCTGCGCTCTCCGCCCGCCTCTGACCCTGCAAGCCCTCTACCTTGGGGCTGAGAGTGCAGGGACGGACTCCGCAGCTGCTGAGATCAGGGACGGACTCCGCAGCTGCTGAGATCAGGGACTGCCTTTGAACCAGACCTAGCCTATGTACTGCAGTCCAGATCTCAGTTTCACCCTTCACATTAGTGTAGGCAAGTTTTTTTTTCAATTGAGATGAATACATTGTAAAATCTCAGTTAATGTCAGTTGGTCTAAATCAGTTATAAATATATTTGGACACAACATGTATAGTTGGTGTTATGTCGTTTGCCGTTTGCAATAAACTTTGCATAAAATAGTTAATTTGCATTTAATTTTAATGGTTCAAAGAATGTCAGGCAAAATGGTCGGCCCTCACGCATGTTCACTTCATCAAATCTGGCCCTCTTTGAAAAAAGTTTGGACACCCCTGGCCAATACTAACATCAAGAGAGAACCTGTGTGCCTATTTGGCAATGAATGGTGGCTGTAAAAAAGAGCAATCTTTTCTAGCTGCACATCCTCTTTGGTCTTTGGAGAGACTGACCCAGATGCACACAATGGATGTTGCTGGTGTCTTTGTAGCAATGGAGCTAAATGTTACTAATGAACCTTATACCTTCCCGTGTTTTTCAAGCATTCCATATACAGTCACCTGAGAGCAGAGGCTCATCCCAGAGGTGGTGGTTTCAGGTGGCTTGTCTCTGCTCGATAGTCATCCAGCTGATGCTCCAGCTTCTCTCGACGAACTCGCTCATATTCCAACTGGGACTCCAGCTCCTGAATCATCCTGCCAAATACAAAAATTAGGCAAGCCTGATGAAATTCTGTTAACTGTCAGCTTCTGCCTCTGCTTCTCGGTAATGGTCCAAAACAAGGGTCCAGGCACTATCCTATTGCTGTAGTGCAAGATGGCTTTAAGGAAACCTAGGTGTGAAACACCTGGCACTGCCTTTTCTGCTGCTCCAGTAAGGAGAATTTGCCCCCAAACATCTGCTGCCAACACCAGCATAAGCCACATTCCAAACCTGGGTGGTCTTCTATCAGCTAAGATGATTATTTCAGCACTAATAGTGTACTCTGTGTTGTAAAAGAGTTTAAAAGAGACATGCTTCGTGTTCCAATGCATGTGACATCTCTTTGGGATTGTGGAGACACACATTAGCTAGCACCTGACCTTGCTCCCTGTTGCCTATTCCCAGCTTCTGGCAAACAGAGGCTAGGGACACTTTGGAGTATGGTTTTACATCCCTGCCTATCCTAGGTATCCTCTATGAACTTATCCAGAGTTTGTTTGAACTCAGTCTTGGCCTTCACAATATCCTCTGACAAGGAGTTCCACCGGTTGACTGTGAAGGAATACTTCCTTTTGTTTGTTTTAACCATGTTGCCTATTAATTTCATTTGGTGACCCCTTTGGTTCTTGTGTTATAAGTACATAACACTTCTTTATTTTCTCTACACCACTCATGATTTTATAGACCTCTTTCATATCCTCTAATAGTCATCTCTTTCCAAAGAGAAGAAGTCCTGGTCTTATCCGTCTCTTAGCTGTTTCCTACCACAGTCATTTTGGCTGCACTTTTCTTTACCTTTTCCAGTTCCAATATATCTTTGTTTTGAGATGGAGAGATCAGATCTGCATGCAAGTATTCAAAACGTGAGCGTACTATGGATTTATATAGGAGCAATATGATATTGCTTCTTGAAAGCACTGACATTGAAAGCAGGGGTAATTAAATATGATGTTATTATTGTATGAGTAAAGGGCAGCAGAATTGTACTTAGCCTGCCTTGATTGACTAGTCACCCTAAATGGAACCTCATTTGCTAAGCAGGGGTAGGATACCAAATGCCGGTGAAGAAGAGAGAGGGTGGGGCCAGGTGTTTATATCTGATAGTGCGGGCTCTGCCTGTGGAGTTGTAGACACTAGTTGACCATCCTTTCATCTCTCCACTGTATAAAGGTAGACTACCTTTATACTGACTACCTCAATTGAAAACCCTAGTTCTGTTCAATGATCACCAGAACTGAAATCATTTAGGCTATGTCTACACTAGAGATACCATTAGAAATGCACCTGCACCACTGTAAAATCTTTCATGTAGTTGCTCTATGACAATGGGAAAGAGCTCTCCCATCGACATAAACCATCCCAGCATGCGGCAGTAGCTCTGTCAGTAGGAGAAATTCTCCCACTAACATAGCGCTGTGCTCATTACCACTTATGCTGGTAAAACTTATCAGAAGGTGGAGGGGTGGTTCACATGCCTGAGCTACATAAGTTTTGTCAACGTAAGTAGTAGTGTAGACATGGCCTTAGACCTGATGTGATGTCGTGAAAAAGACTAGACAGCCTGCTCTAGCAGTGAGATTCCCTACTCGCTGCTGAAATCATGGAGAGCTGGGCTAAATGGTGAAACCTCAGAACGTGACAAGGCTGCAATAGCAGAGTGATGGCAGCAGGACGGGGGCCAGCAGAGGTGGAGAGTGACAGTGGGACAGAGAGCAGCCAATAAAGCAGGGAACAGTGGCACCACCCCACGGCTTCCCTATACCCCATCCCAAGGTGGGAGAGGAACTCACCTGAACACACCCTTTAGACTCTGGGATTTCATTGACCAAGGACAGCAACTGTAAATGGGGTGCAGTAGAAGGAGAGGGGAGTGGTGTGTTAATAGGACATTTGGACTTTCAATCATAAGGGTGAGAAACTGAAGCAGAGAACATAGTCCAGCATGGATGCTTACTTGACCACCCGCCCTGTAGTGGGGTGCTGTGGACTGTTGCCTAACTCTATCTGTGCTCCTAGATGAGGCAGCACCTTCTCCTCAATGCTCACAAGAAACCAGCCCTAACTCCCCTGGGCAGCTGATTTGTTATAATCCACCCGTCACCTGCCCCAGAACTCCCTGTGGGCTGCACAGGGACAATCTGTGCAAGCAGCCTCTCCACTCCTCCAAAGGCTGGGGGGTCCTTACTCAGAGAAATATCCTCTTGCTGGCCAGATCCACCACTTACCATAGCAGCTGAACCAGCTCTCTCTCATCAGATCCCAATGTAGCTCCCTGAGCACCAGCAGTTTTCCAGAACAAGATCACAGGATAGTCGGGGGGAAGAAAGGGGTGAAGCCTGGGGTGATATTGAGAGGAGGCAAGGAATTGATGGTGGAGACAGCAAAGAGTCGGAGGAAAGGGCAAGAGTGGAGGCTGCAGCAGCAAAAAGGCTGAAAACTAGAGGGGTCCCAAGAGAAGGGTGGAGGAGAGGAGTAGCACAAACCGAGAGAGAACTGCCTGAGCGGCAGCAGAAGAAAGGAGTTTTAAAACTGGGCCTTGGACAATGGTGAGTAGCAAGGTGTCCAGGAGGAAGTTGGAATAACTACAAAAAGTAACAGCGACATTTAATATTCCAAAATCATAGCAAGAGAGTGTGATGCTTCCTTTGAACTCAGGACATTTAGCAGAACATGTCTTTACAGTAAGCACTGGGGAATTAGGTAAACGTTATGGAGTACGCTATACGCCCAAGTATGCTTTGGCTGAGGTTTGTAGAGCTAGGAGCCATCTGTAGAGCCTTGTGTAGACACGTCTACCCATGGATGCAGATATCCACAGATAAACATTGGTACCCACAGGGCTCTGCTCCCAAGAGACACTAGCCAAAAGAGAGAAGTGGTCCTGTCACACCTGAGAGCCATCTCCAGCCAGCAGATACTGGGGCTGGGTGTGGTATAGCCACACAGCTGGGAGGGCTGATGGTGCAGGGCACTGGCTTCTGGGTGCAAAAGCACCACATTCCTCTCCAGTGGCTGCAGCATCTCTTGTGAGTAGAACCCTGTAGATCCCAATGTCTATCCACAGTTATCGTCATCCACAAGTAGATATTTGTATCTGAGCAGGGCTCTAGCCAGCTGATAAGTTCTTGCCCATACATAGGTACTGCATTTGAAACATCATAAAGAAATACAAAAATATGTCACACTCTACTAGCTCCTTCCATCCATGGGTCTCCACAGATTTTACAAACATTACAGAGTTAACTGAATCTTACTTTTCAGCCTCCCTTTCTTCTTTCTTCTTCTTCCTCTCCTCTACAGTTATTCCCCCCAGTTGTTTGTAGTTGCTGTAGGCAATTTCTAGAAGTTTCTTTAATTCTTCAATCTTTTGGTAGGCTCTTACTGCAAGACAGACAGTTGTCTAAGTAGCTAACATGATGATGTGGAGGCTGGGTTTTCTGAATTTTAGGAGATATTTTTTGGCAGTGGGCTCTATTAGACTGTGGAACAGTCTCCTTCAAAAAGTAGCAGAATAGCCATTGTTTAGTAGATTTAAAACTACATCTGATAAATCATTCAAAAATACACTATAAGTAATAATCCTTGCTGGCTTTACAGAAATAGACTGTTCTAAGTTATCTTCTGTTCTAACTTCCAAAAAGATTCAAATATTTTTCTTGATTTCCACAATGTATTTTAAGCTCATTGGTACTGACAAAAGATTCTGCAACCAGTAGGGAGAAATTCTGCAACTAAAAATATTTTTCCTGGGGATCTCCTTGCTTCCCTCCTGTTCAAGAGAAGAAACAGTAAAGAGAGACAGCACTTACTGCGTGCATCTCTTTTTTTTGCTTCATCCAGTTTTAAATCTTCTGTGGCATCTGTGCTCCCTTCCACGCCATGTCTGTCGAAAAACTTTACATCGCTGTCATCTAATTCTTCATCAGAATCGCCTTCAGTTATCTGGCTCAAAAGCTCCACAGCTGCCAGATGAGCAAATCTGCATAACACAGAGAAATATCCAGTGACATACACATGGGGCTTTAAGGTACACAGGGGAGCCTGGTGCAGACTGAGGCCCGCTAAAATGTTTTTTGCACCATTTTGATGCTGCTGCACTTCTGCCTCAGTAATATCCTGTGGCAGTTAGTTGCACCGTTTACTAAATTGTGCAGAAACATAGGTGACTGGTGCCTGTCGGGAGAGCGGGTACAGGAAGGGCCACCCAGAGGAACAGGGAGGGGGCATGAGAGGGCACCTCATTTAGCAATTAAAATTTTGGTGGGAGCACAGAGGGGCAATGCACCTCCCTGGTGCTACTGAGTCACTGATGTGCAGAAATTTAGTTATTTTAAATGTATATTGCTTTTTAATTTAATCAAATAAGCACCTGTGTTATATTTAAGGGTAAACAGGAGTGCACAGCTGGCCTTCTGCAGCATTTATTATTTTGTATACTCAATCATGTCGCCTCTCAATGTCTTTTCAAAACTTAACATAAAAAACAATGAATAGTCTAGCAGCACCTCAAAGACTAACAAAACATGTAGATGGTATCATGAGCTTATACCATCTACCTGTTTGGTTAGTCTTGAAGGTGCTGCTAGACTATTCGTTGTTTTTTAAGTTTTTCCAGTTACAGACTAACTTGGCTACCCCTCTGAAGCTTCAAAACTAAACAGTGCTCATCTTTTAGATCTCGCCTTGTATGCATAGTTCCCTCTAAGGCTAAGTTATGCGCTTGTGTACATGTGCAGAGGAAATTTCTACTCTGCACACCTCCTAAGCAGAGCAGTGCAGCAGCATAGCGGGAGGCAGCTATTCTGGCCCCAGAGGAACCACCTGGCAGGCAGGAGGGGTGCTACTGCCGGGGGTTGGGGCCTCAGGCTGGAGGTTGCTGCTGCTGGGAGTTGGGGTTGAAGGGATTCTTCATTCCTATTATTAAAACACAGAAGGGAAAGGTACCCAAAAAATGAAATGCTCAGAGTTGAGAACAGATCCTGGATGTGAAGCCCTCTTGCTATGTATGCTTGGATCACTGCCCAAGAATCCATGCCATAAGCAAGTCTGGAGCTAAGAGCTCTTTTGTCTTTTATTGCAACTTGGAAGTGTAGGAGGCATTGTGTGTAGTGAGCTGGAGGAGAGAAGGTAGGACTATGACAGTTTGCTTTTATCTCTGTCCAGCTCTGCTGATGACTTCCTGTGTGACTTCCGGAAATTTACTGACTACTCCGTGCCTCAGTTTCTTTTTCTATAACATAGGGACATTGTGCCTCAAAAGCATCACAGAAGGTTTGGGATGCCTTGTTCATTAATGAGAGCAAAGTTGCATGAGACTGCTAGTGCCAATGGGAAACAGTTATCTGCTACATTGAGTGCCTAATCTCACCTTACCAGGTCAAGCTATGGGCTTCCTCCCCATTGCCAAAGCACCAAACGCATATCCACCCTACCCCTGCCCTCAGCTTCACGCCCTCATGCTCCCTTGCCTGGAGCTGAAAGAAAGGGGAAGCAGGGGAATTCTCCCATTGGGTAGGAGCCACAGTGGCACACATATGAACCTCATTGTTGGCGCACATGACCACCAGGTGCACATGACCTCATTGTTGGCGCATAAGACAAAACTCACTTCGCTCATGGCTGTGCATAGAAGAAACATGCTTGTATGGAATTTAACCCATCTCTAGTTACAATCGTTTTCCAGAGGTGTATAAATATCCTTAATAAATCTCAGAGGAGTTGCGGTGTTAGTCTATAACTGAAAAAAAACTTTAAAAAATATCAAATAGTCTTGCAGCACCTTAGAGACGAACAAAAAAGGTAGATGATCTCATGAGCTTTTGTGGGCACAATGCACTTCTTCAGATGAACCTTGTGTAGTTGATGGATTTCCACTCCATCTGAAGAACTGGGCTGTGCCCATGAAAGCTCATGATACCATCTACATTTTTTAAAAATGGTACATTTTTTACCATCTATTTTTTTTAAAGTTTTTACCTTTAATAAAACCCTTTACCATAGTAATAGAACCGAAAGTCTGCTAATGCGCAGATGAAATTCACGAGTCTGATTCTGCTCTCACTTACACCAATATAAATCAGGAGTAACACTACCTGAATCAGCAGAGTTACACTGATAGAAGAACACTAAGTGCAGAAGTCAAAAAATTAGAGCTCAGAGATCTGAACTGCTACCTCTTGGCTACATCCTTTGGAGTTTCTTCAGCGTCATTTGTAATGTCGCAATTAGCTCCCATTTCAATCAACCATTGCAAGCAGTTTATATGCCCTTGTCCAGCAGCTGAGGAAAATAATTTGTGCTCAAGTCAGTTATATGCACATTTTTATAAACAATTAAAAATGCCTTTTCCCTAACATGACTTAAAACCCCCTGAAGATGAATGGTCTATAATGTCACTAGGAATCCATGATGCAAATACCAGTTCAAATGAACCAAATTCTACCCAGAAGTATAAGCCTGTTTTTTATTTTCATTTCCTCTATTCTGTAAAAGTTACAGGCCAATCCTCCTCATTTCTGACTTTTATGTTTCACTAGAAGATTTACCCAATGTTGCTCAGGTCAGCAATATCCCTGTATGACTTGAGGGGAGGGGAGATTCATTCCCTGTACCTTCCTCCCTAAAACTCAGCCCTCTCTTAGAGCAGCAGCTTGGGGCCAGGTGAGAAGTGCCTGTCCATGGCCACTAAAGCGGACACAGCCAGGGTTGGGGGACATGTCCTCTGACTGGGGACAGACAGACACAGAAACAGACAAACCCTCTCAAGTATATAGTAGAGATAGCGGTCTCTTTCTCCACTACTGCCCCCTGCTGTCCCAGTGGGATTTCAGATGTCCCATCTCTGGCTCCTTGCTGCCCCCTGTGGTCTTTATAGTATAACTGTCCCTGCAAGCAGAACCTTCCTATTCTGTGTTCTGAGAAACAATTGCATTCCAGGCACCTCTTATTGTCCTGGCACAACCAAACCCCTACCACTTCCCGCAGCTCCCCTTGGCTGGAAATGGCAAACCAGAGCCAATGGGAGCTGTGAGGCTCTGTGGCTACAGAGATTTTAGGTAAACAAAATGGAGTGGGCCCATGAAACAGTTTGAGAACCGCTGGTCTAGATAGTATCCAAATATACCACATTTATATACCAGCCTGGCATGCAGGTCCTGGACTATGCTTAACGGGCAGCTGACTGGAATGGCCAGAGTGGTTGCCATAAGACAGAAATTTGGCTTAGTTCAGTCTTCACAGTGTGACTACAAGACAGCAAGGCAGAGAACCAAAAATGGTGGGAGAATGCATGAATAAAAAACTGGAGGATGAACTGCAACATCTTGCTACCCTTGATGGTGCAGCAGTAACAATCGAGACATCAACTTGTGACATGTAAAAAAGATGACCACCAAATATGTGTTTTTGTGTACATAATCTCTGTTGGCTGCCCTTTGGAGCCCTTGGGAAAATGAGATGCTGTATTTCATGAAGCTTACCTGATGAGCAGCCACTTAACTAAGTGAACAAGTCAATAGCAAACAGTAATGAGCTACAACACCAGTTCTTAATTCCTGACCTTTGTGCATGAGAGTGGATCCCTTATCATCCCGCTCATTAATATTGATGATACCACTTTCCACCAATCTTCTAAGCATCACCAAGTCCCCTTTGAAGGCAGCAATATGGGCTGGAAATGCTAAATCTGAAAAATGGAACAGATATGATTCTAAGCAAAGGCCAGTAATTCCAATAAGCAGACAAACGAGCTATTTTTTCTTGCCTTTCATAGTTTCTCTCTCTAAAAAATAATTTAAACATGGAAATTTCATACTTGTTAGTGAGATTAATGCACTCTTCATTGGTTGAAACATGGCTGCAGAACACAGCACTATCATCACAGGTTTCACCAAGCATGTCTTGGTTATTAGCTATAGGCATCTGCTAGTTCTACTGAAAGAAGATTCATTTCATATTTCTGTAGCAAAAATATGCCTTTGGTTGAAATATAATGGACTTATAATGCTAGAAACTGAAGTTCTCTTATTTTCAAGTCAAGGGTCCTATGTAAGATTTACAATGTAGTAATTTTCTTGTAGGTTTCTGCAAAGAAAAGACTAATAGATATGGAATGTGATTCAAAAATCAAGCAAGCCTGCCCTTCAGAAAAATAATAATGGGCTAGCTTCTGCTATCCTTGCTCTTGAATAATACCTTATTTAGCAAGTAGTTCTATTGATTGCAATGGGACTATTGCCAGAATGAATTATTACTCCACTTAATAAGGGAATCAAAATCTGGTCCTATGTATGTAACTGCCTGACATTTCTGGACATTGCAATGTGTCAGATTTTAAGAGAAATGTGAACAGCTTTGTATAACTAAAGCAAAATGACCGCATAGCAAAGTGGTGCTGCTTTTGTTTTCATTATCAGAACGTTAGAGACACATGACACGTGTAAGATCGCAACTAGAAATCTAAACCTTTACATATCAATAACGGAAACAACTATTGGAAGCTTCAGATGTTTTGCATACTGATTATCCATTCTGTGCCTGTCAGGACTGTTCCCCACTCTGGCACTCCAAGTGCAGAAGGCGGGGGCCTACAAAGACCCTGAATACCTTGCTTCTATAGACTTTGCTTACAAAAAAAACCTCACCAGAGTCACAGATGCACTGGCTCAGAGAAAAAAGCCCAAAAAGCTGCCACCATGAATTGATTTCATCCTAAAAAAACAGGAGGGAACACTTGAATTCCTTCCCCAGGGGTACCCAAAGTTTTTGCCCAAAAAGAGCTTGAAAAAAGAAAAGAGAGAAACAAGCTGCAGTCTCTGGTAGCTGACCGCTCATCTTAGGCAGGCAGATACACACTCACACAGAGCCCCTGTTCCTTTCCAGGACATAAGAATCAAATCATCACCTTAAAAAACGATTTTATTTTCAAGAAAAAAAAAGATATACTTGATAAAGCAAACATAGAGAACATCACTTAGATAGCAAATGGGAGAGAGAAGGCATAAGTTCACACAGAGAAGTTTAACCAAACAACAAAAAATAAGAAAAATATCCCTATTGTGACTAAATATACCTTTTCCCTTTATTTACTCACAATCCCTTTCTGGTTCAGTCTACTTCCATGCCCAATATTCTTTGTAGGCTTGGTAATTCTGATTACTGCATGTTGCTCCCTCCAGCCCTTAACTTAGAAGTCAACAAAGGAAGAGCAGGCAGGGTATCTACATGCAATTCAAATTTCAGCACAATGTCCCATTGGTTCGTCTGGCTCCGTGCCAACAATACCCTTAGCTACCTGAGGCTATGTCTAGACTACAATGTTTCATCAGAAAAAGGTACACAAATTGCACTCCACAATTTGTGTACCTTTTTCCGACAGTTTTGTCAGAAAACTGGGCCAAATTTTGGAAAAACCTCCTCTTTTGGAAGAGCCTTTCTTCCTCATGGAAGGAGGAAGACAGGGCTTCCAAAAGAGCACATCTGCTCTTCCACAAAAAAAAGCAGAAAAGCAGACACGTTGCCTGGACGCGACCCATAGTCAAGATGTAGTCTGAGTCTAACCCTTTAGCAGGCCAGCACTCCTCCTATCCATCACAGTGCTAATTGAAAGTCAGTGTTGATTATCTGAATCAAAGTTCAGGTCATTTGCAACGATCATTTTGACAGGGTTAGTGTTGCGTTGTGGATTTTTTTGTTATTGTTGTTTTAAAAGCTAGTATCTCTGAATCTAATTTCAGGGTCCTACTCACTTTCCTCTTCTTCTGGATGATCTCTCTCCTCTTCCACTCTGCCAATGTACTGCAAGATATTATCCTTATAGAACCTCTGTGCCAAATCCTTTGGGGTCTCACCATGGTCATTCCTGGCTTTCAAAGTGTGAGACACACTGGTCATTTTACTAACCAAGAACTTAAAACAATGCAGGTGGCCCTCCATTGCTGCCAGATGAGCTATGGCACAAAGGAAGAACATGGCAATATTAAACCTGAGCATTGTCACCTGCCAAATGAAGAGTCACTTAGCCAAGATTTACTGTACAAAGACTACTGTTAGGGTCAGATTTAGACTATTGATTAGATGTCAGCTAACTAAGGCTTATCCAGGTTTTATTAATCAAAGACAAAACAGTACAATACAGAAACATGAGAATTAATATCTCACAGTCCAGAGAACAGCTTCTCAGCTGCTTTGAATCTGCTCCAAAGTGTGACTTAATTCAGTTTATTTAATTTTACATACATAGTGAAGCAATTTATAACAAACAAAAGATAAATCTAATTTCACACCTATTTTTCAAAATACAAGATCCTCTTATACCAGCCACAAAAACACTGAGTGATATTCAACCAATAGCATTAGACGATAGTGATATAAATATTTTTATCCTAATTGTATCTAGCAGCAATTCACATATAACATTCCTTAACAGAACGTACATCTTGTTTCTGAGAGTTCCCACATTCAAAGGAACTAAGGTTTGGAACAGTTTAACCATTAGTAGTAAATTTCCACTCTAAAGCTCAGAGTGAGTAACATAACATCTTGCCCATTGTTATTTTCATTCAGATATGGTATTTACAAATACCACCAAGACCCAAATCCAGCCCCCATCCCATCATACGCACTGTGAGGAAGGCTCTCCAGACATGTATTACTGCACCAGAAGTGGGGATATGAGTCTAAGAGGCTGGATTAGAGGCACTCACATGGGCATCTGGTGGCTTAGGCAGGGGAAGGCTTTGCCTTCCCAAACCACCAGCCTGACCCCACCCACACTCTGCCCCCAGAACACCTGCTGTAGGCGTTCTGGGGATGGAGTGTTGCTGCTCCCTGCACCTGCCCTCTCTGCTCCAGGGAGGGTTGGGCGGCTGCCTTGGGCCAGCTGCATGGCCTCTTCCCTCCCTGCTCTGGGGAGACTGAGCCGCATGTGCACGCAAGCGCTCTTCTCCTCCCCAGGGCCTCAGCAGGGGGCGGGGCTGTCGGTGGGGCTGTGAGCCTGCCTACCCCAGCTCCAGCTGCACTGACCGCCCATGGGTGCTCAGTCCTTGCCCAGTGCATGGGAATCAGCAAAAGGCTGGTTAAGGACAATAGAAATGGAAGATCCACTGTTGAGATGATCCTGCCATCTTTCTTTCTCCATGAGTTGGGGCATGTGAGTGATCAAACATATTACTTCAGCCACTGGGACAATGAGCTGTGGGGATGCGATCTTTTGGATGAACACCAGCCTGAATCTTGAACACCCGTGGCTGCTGAAAATCCACTACCAGTTTAGTGAGAGGAGATATTTAACCTTGTCCTAGCCAAATTCCAGTTCAGGTGGAGGCAGTATGGTCCAGTGGATGCGACACTAAGTCCAGAGCTAGGGAACCTTGGCTCTGTACCCTCTGACCTTCTGTGCAACCTTGAGCAAGCCACTTCACTGCCCCATGCCTTAGTTTTCCCATCTATAGTCTGGGGACAGTAATAGTTATGCTCCTTTGTAAAGTACTTTGAGATCTACAGATGGAAAGTCCTATTAAAAAGTAAATAATTACACTTTGCTTCCCTAAATGTCCCCTATAATTTAATTTCTATACAGAATACCTTAGGGAATTCACTTTCTGTGTTGAATTGTGTAGCAATGCTGTGCACAGCAGCTGTTATGTTCTACCCCAAAAGTGATTCTTTTGTTACGGTGGGTTACATGTTACTTTATTAATATTACAGGGTACAGGTACATCTTTATTTTTAATATTTGTAAAGAGCATGGATAGCCATAATGAAATGAGCTATGGAAGTGAAAAACACATGTAGTATTTTCCATTCCCATCAGTGGAAAATGGGAAGAAGGAACTGAAACTCAAATAAGCACTTATTAATTACTTAATGTCACTGCATGAATTATTTTTTTTAGTATGGCTGATATGCTACAGAAAGATTGAATATTTCTCTGTAAAGTCCATTAGTGTAAAGAAAATTCATTTCTCTTCAGTTAAGAATCCTATGGCTAAAACATTATACCCATTTCAAGCACCACTAATGTATTTACTATGTATAAACTAAAAGCACTATTTAACTAATAATGCACAACCTCCCACTCCATGCAAATTCTATGAGGCTCTGAGGCAGGCTGACTTGTGCAGATTTCAAAAATGCATGCTGCATAAGGCCAGAATTTAAAGAATGAAATCACAGCTCTGTTGAAGTCAATGGAAGTTTTGCCATTAGCTCTAGTGGAGTCAGGATTGCATTCCACCAGTTGCAGACTTTCCCAGAGATGTGAATTCAACATCTATATTCTTACTGTTAGGTACCGATTTTTGTATTATATCGAAGTGGTCTGATACTTCCCATTATAAGATCCTATTTTCAGTTGCTTACAATTTTGCCAAACTTCAACCGTTTAGGCTGATATTTTCTATGCCAGGCATCTGCCTCACGCTGATTTTTTGTTGTTATTAATTTCAGCCAAATTATGTTGTTTTTCCCTTTTAACAAATTCTGTTAACCTTTCCTTTGAAGAGGTCTGGCTCTCCCACACTTTGGAGCAAGCAATTCAAAATTAGGGAAATAGGTGACCTTTGTGTCAGGGATGTGCCTTTCGCCATCCCAGCAGACTTGCTCTACCCTCCCCCTTCCTCCAATCTGGCCAAGTTATAAGCCTAGAAAAATGGCAGTTTCCTCAGTCTTCCTAGATTTTATCAGCTACATTTCCTGAGATTCTGTCCGTAGTGGGCGTGTTCCCATCCAGGGCTGAGCAGGGCTTTCTCTGCAATTGCAGCTCTGGGCTGCTGCAGGCCTAGCCGATTCTAGGTCCAGACACCTGAATAGAGAACAGGGAGACTTTTTCCTGTGCACCCAGTGACTCCTCACCATTGGGCCAAGACAATGTAGAGGAGGAAGCTGCCTAATTCAATGTGAAAAGGAGAAGAGTGAGACCTGAGGGAAGGACAGGACAAATAGACTGACACAAGGAGCCTGGAAGGGGAGACAAAATAGACTGACTGGACCAAGAGCCTGGGAAAAGGAGCTTCCAGGGAATGACAGTAATATTTGATGAGGAGCCAGGGAGGAAGACTGGGAGCAGGAAAGCATTAGGAATGTGTGTGCAGGAAGTGAGTTGAGGTTTGGGTGAGGAGAGAGACAGATCAGATGTAGACCAGGTAATGGAAGACTGGGGCTAGTTGGACAAGGGGACTGAAAGCTGGGGAGACTGGGACAGCTATTTTGAAGGAGTGAGACTGGAGGCTTTTCTCAATGACCAGTGCATGGCAAGATGGGGTATAAATCTACCTCACACTTGCCTGTCATGCACTACCAGTCAGTGTGGACTCTGCGGTCATGCACTTTGACCTACTTCTGTTTCAAAGAAGAGTAGATCATAGTGCACTAGGGAATTTTTAGTGTGCAGCAGCAATGGCCATATGGCTGTTAGTATGCAACATGCTAGAGCAATACATATTTATACCCCAGCATGCTGTGCATTAGTTGTTTGTCTGGACAAGGCCTAAGATTTGGTGAGCAAGGAGACTAGCACTGGGATGAGACACCTGAGAAATAAAGACTGAAACTTCGTACGTGATGAGAATGGGATTTGGATGAAGAGTAAGGGATGGGGAAGAGACAAAATTGGGAAAAAAAGCAGATAGGCCAAAATCTCTTCTCAGTCAAATGTAAAGCTGAAATAACTCCCTTAAAGTCACTGGGGTACTCTAGACTTATCCAAGTGTCACCAAGTTCAGAATGAAGCCCAATAGTTGCAACTTTGGGTATATGAATGAGAAAGTGCCATAGAATATGTTTAATGAAACTCACCACTGGTTGTCATTAAAAGAAGTCAGCATTAGCTAACAATTTCCATGCATCAGTGTTTCATAACATAAATTCCCCCAACCCTTAGAACATAACTGTGGCAACTACATGAAATCTATTAGCAAATATTGCTAGTATACATTACTTGTAATTTGTTAGTCACATCACAGAGCAACTAAAAGCCAAAAGTTAGAGCTGTAGACTTTTTTCCCCAAGGTACCTGGAAGATTTCCATTGTTATCCACGTCATTTATACTAGCTCCCCATCTAACAAGAAGCTGCAAACAACCCAAGCGACCATGAAAAGCGGCATAATGGACTGGCTTCCACTCATTCTTATCTGAAACATTTGCATCCTAGAATTAAAGAAGCAAGTTCATTTATTTAGTTGCTTTACATTTCAGTGGAAGCAATATGTATATCTCTGATTACATTTGTAAAAAAAAATCAGGTATTCATAGTAGGTATCGAAAACATTTATGAAACACTATTTAAATTCTGAGTTACCTTAAATAAAAATGCTGTGAATAAATTATTCCCATGTATAGGCATATAGATATATACTTTCCCTCTAAGTTTTGTTTTATTTAAAATATCAAAACACAAATACATTATCTAAATATTACATTTTTTGACATAATTTGGCCATGATGTTACTCACGATGTTACATATAATTTTTGAAAGCTAAAAAGTCTAAATTTTTGAAAACTAAAAAGTACCATTTCTGAAAAAGATCATAGTAATTAAAACTTCTGGTCTCCATTTAGCAAAGTCCTTATCAGCTAATGAAATGTTCTGCTTTTCCAAAATATTATTTCTCTGTACATTCTTGGATCATTTTCCTTATGTGCCTCAGAAATAGCACACAGATCATAATTAAGCTACAAATCAAATGCTGCAGTCCTAAGACCCATCAAATCAATGGAAGTTTTTGTTTGCAAAACTTTACTGTGATTTGGCCCTGCTATAGGGATTTGTAATGGATATATGCAAATGTACCATGTCTCAAAATAAAATAAAAAAAATCTCCTCTGAAGATAAAATCTCCTCACCATTCCACTCCGGAGTATGGTTTGTAAAGTGTATGACTGTCCATGGGCCGCAGCTAGGTGTGATGGAGTGCATCCTCTGTCATCTTGAGCTGTTAGGTTTAATCCATTTATTACAAGAGCCTAAATAATTGCAACACAGAAATTCAGTTTACAAAATTAAAGGGCAAATGTTGTTTCAAGTTACAAGAAGCAGGGTAATTTCTGAGTGAAGTAGGAAGGAGTATTAAATATGTTCATGGATGTTGTCTTTTATCATAGTGATGTGTGCAATATATTGTGCTCCCCCTTCTTGTGTCTGCCTGTTGTCTCTTGCCCTGCTCTTAGATCATAAGCTCTTGGGATAGAGAGCTCTTGGGATATTTACATTCTGGGTTTATACAGCAGCTAGCACAATGAGATCCTGATCCATGACTGAGGCTCACAGACACTATCACTATAGAAACAATAAAGAACATAATAAAATAATAATAATGTATAGGTACATCTATTTTTGTGTTATTTATAATCAGATGAGTTTTTAATTCTGAAAATATCTAGTTAAGGTTTCCAAAGGCATCTAAGGGATATAGATATCCAGTTAACATCTAAATCTCCTATGCAGCTTTGAAAACCCCACTATGGTATACTGTATGAATCTTGTTATAACTTCTTTTCCAGATTCTGGAGCAGTTTCTCAGCTGATGTGAATTGCACCATTTCACAATGGGTAAGGATCTGCCCTATTTACTTTTGATGTAAATATTTATGCTTACCTGCATACAAGCATCATGACCTCTGATAGCAGCGAGGTGAGCTGCTGTCCAGTCTCTTATAGCTAAAGCTGTTATATCAGCTCCATGCCAGAGCAGCCAGTGAAGACACTACCAATCAAAACAAAGACATTCATATTTGTTTTAAATATAAGTTATCAGCATTGATCCAATATACAATTCTAACAGCGTTCACTGCAAGTTATCCATTGACATTATATTTGAAAGTATTATCAGACTTCTCTATTATTACAATAGACCACAACAGGGCATCCATTATTAAGGTGCTGCTGCATTAGGAAGCTACAGCTTCATTCCTTCATCCATCCAAGAAATGTGCCAATAGCTTACTAATGCAGACCCAAGCATGTCTTTTCTCCGGCAACAATTTAAGAGAGGTTCTGTCACTGGTTCCCCTATTGTCTCCGTAACTCAAGCCAAACAAGACTACAACCTGACTTGCCCGGGGGGAGAATCATTGGAAAAATAGCAGAAATTACAGGAACATCCCAGATTAATGGAATATGCCCACAATTGGTTCTAAAGATCACAACCTGGGGTCTTGCTAGATCCCTGGAGGTTTCTGGACATCTGAAAAGCAGCAATGTACTTATTATTATTTGCATTTAGCAAGAAGTTTCCTTTGGCATATTGATTTTACCACAGTTTGTTGTTTCAAGGTTAGATTGCTACAGTGCCTTCCACATGGGGCTACAATATGACACAGCAGCTTGTTCCGAATGGAAGCTCATAATACTGATGAAGAGGTTGTCAACTGATTTATGGATCACAAAGTGCTGATTTTGACCTGTAAAACCCTGAATGGTTACAGTCCTGTCAAGTCCTTTTCCAGTCATCTGATGTACTCAAACTGACATTCCATTGATATCAAAGGGCACTGAATTAGTCTCAAAGTTTTCAGTTGGAATCTTTAATTCCCTTTTCATCTAGTTGGCCAAAGCCCAGTTTTGATTACCTTTAGAACCTGCTGTAAATCTTACATATTTCCCTCTGCTTTCCCTAAAATGGGGGGAAGAAGACTGGGCCAGTTACTTGAGGGATGAAGGAAGGTATAAATCAGGGGCTTGCCTGGATCCATCCTCCCAGGCTCAGGGCCCCCTCGCACTGGGGAGTCTAGGCTGGCTCTCCAGCTCCACTGCCCCCACTTCCTCCACAAAATCTACTAGGCTGACCCACACACACACTCTGCTGTGTGAGGGGACTTTGGAGAGTGTCTTTCTCCTTCTCAGGGGCCATGTCAGTGAGGAGTTCGATTTTTTTTGTGGGTTGGAGGTTTTTTGTTTTGTTTTGTTTTGTTTTTTGCTTCTCACTTGTGTGTGGGCCCCGACTGATTTTTCAGCAGGCCAGTGGCCCCCAAACAAAAAAAAGGTTTCCCCACTGCTATAATTGGAGCCTAGGTTAGAACTGGGAAAGTCTCCTGTGCATTGTTCTGAAACATACTGAGAAATCCTGTGGTGCTGAACACATATAAGGGCTATGTCTAGACTGCAAGCCTCTTTCGAAAGAGGCTCTTTCGAAAGATACTTTCGAAAGAACCTCTTTTGAAAGAGAGCGTCTAGACTGCACGTTGAACTTTCGAAAAAGCGGCTTGCTTTTTCGAAAGAAAGCATCCAGTGAGTCTGGATGCTCTCTTTTGAAGAAGCCCTATTTACATTGAAGAACGCCTTCTTTCGAAAGAGGAACTTTCGAAAGAAGGCGTTCTTCCTCGTGAAATGAGGTTTACCGCCATCGAAAGAAAAGCCACGTTCTTTCGATTTAATTTCGAAAGAACGCGGCTTGAGTCTGGACGCAGGGGAAGTTTTTTCGGAAAAAGGCTACTTTTCCGAAAAAACCCCTGAGTCTGGACACAGCCAAGGTGTCTAGGGAATGAGAAAGACACAATAAGTCTAGAAAACTGAAAAATAATAACATATTAATATATTATTTTCTGCATCATATTTAAATTGTATAGTCATCATAATACGTTCCTGCTTTACTAATGCTGAATGGATTTACTAAGCAATAAATAAAAGAGATTATTGATTCAGTCAAGCTATGTTCAGTCTCTCCTATCCTGAAAAGCATTGATTTGTAAGAACACTGTTGTGCCCCTGATCTAAAAATCTGTTTTACCTCCAGGCTTCCAGAGTGTGCTGCCCAGTGCAAAGGTGTAAATTTATGTACTAAATCCACCTCATTAATACTGGCTCCACTTTTCACCATTGATGCAAGTTGTTCTACATCACCGGCTTTCACTGCCTCATGTATGTTAGCATGATTTGGCTTCTTCTTGACAACTGTTGAAGAATACCAATAGGTCATTAACCACTTGAATTGCATTGTGGAGATATGAAACATGGAATGAATTAGAAGATGTGGACATGGAAACATTTATTAGTTCTGAAGATGCCTATCAGTAATAAAATAAATCTGATCTTTACTCTGACAAAACTCCCCATCCCTAATAGCCAATATTAACTTTTTCAGAATAGGGGCTGTGGAACTGGATGGTATGTGTGTGAGGATCCTTATCACATTGTCAAACCTACAGAAACATTGGGTTATCCTTTAGTACATTTTGCTACTGGAATGATGATTACTATAGAAAGTGATTCTTTGTCCAATAATAATGCCTAGCTCTTATGGTGTTTATCATTAGCAGTTCTCAAAGTACTTTGCAAAGAATATCAATATCCCCATTTTTCAGATGGAGAAGCTGAGACACAAAGAGACAAGTCCAAGGTCATCCATCAGAGGAGCCAGGAATAAAACCCAGTCCAGTGCATAATCCACTAGACTACACTGCCTCATTAATTATTCTGTGTTGCTCGCTATTACGAATACCTATGGTATTTTTTTGATAGCCATCACCTTGTCATTATGGCCTGACATCCTGCTACCATTTAAGTCACTTACAGTATGTCTACACTGTGGCGCTATTTCAGGATACTTCCTGTATCCTGAAATAGCTATTCCATGTCTTGACAGTGCTCCCATTATTTTAAAATATCTTTTGAAATAATGGGCACGCTATTCAGACATCCCTATAAATCTCATTCCATGGGGATTAAGGGACATTTCAGAATAGCGGTTTATTTCTAAATTTGGCACTGTGTAGACAGTGCCAAATTACGAAATAAACTATTTCAAAATTAACTCAACATAAGCTATGCAATGTGCGTAGCTTGTTTCGAGATAAGGGTGCAGTGTAGATACACTTTTAGGGCCAAAATTTGAAAACCTAAATAAATGATCTGCTAACAAGCCCCCTTGTATGGTTACAGAGAGTTAACTTCAGACAGCTAAGTTTAAAAGTAACTCAGAATGATTAATAAGATGACAACAAAGAACCATCTTCACACTATTGTGTTATTTCATTGGTTTGTCAAGGTGATGAATATCCTCACAGATATAGGGTCCAATGCTACAGATCACATACGTTTCAAAATGTGGGCCTTGACCAATTTATGCCTCAATCTCTCCCTGTGCAAAGTAGGAATAATAATACTTCCTCAACACTGTAAAGCAATTTGAGATGTTAAAACATATACATGCTAAGTATTATTGGGAAAAGTATGAAGCAATTTATGTAAAAAGTGCATGAATGTCCCTAACAAGTGTTTTCCTCTCTCTGTCTCCCCACATCATTGTTAGTTATTTATTTGTATTGCGGTGGCACTGAGAAGCCTCACTTATGGACCCAGAGCTCCACTGCATTAGGTGCTGTACAAGCACAGAACAAAAAGATGGTTGAAGCCTGAAAAATCTTGGGCGTTTATTTTCTGATTCGTAGCTTTGGGGAATTTGTTTTGTTTTGGGGAAGGATTGTTTGTTTTTGTTTGTTTATTTTCAGAGGCAGTGTCATCAGTATTTTTAGTACAGTAACCCAACAGAATTTAGTGGAACTGTACTGACTGACAGCAGTTAAGAATCTGTCCCACATGAAGGACATGTTGACATTTTGACAATGCTAATGCAATGAAATCTTTTCCATAACGCAAACACACAGACGGGCTCGCAAACATGGTGAATTTTGACTTGTGAAGTTTCCTTGGAAACATCCAGTTGGTATAGAGGGAGAAGTTTGCACTTCCCATTTTCTGTGGAATGGACAGTGACCCTCTAAAACTGCAGATATACTGAAATCTACAATGTGAAAGGGTAAGGACATTCCAGGTAACAATTAAGAGGCAATATGCTAGAGATCTATAAAATCATAACTGTAATGGAGAAAATAAATACGGATGTGCTATTTACTCCTCAAAACAAAAGAACTAGGGGTCTCCAAATGAAATTAATAGGCATCAAGTTAAAACAAACAAAAGGAAGTATTTCTTCACAAAATGCACAATCAATCTGAGGGACTCTTTGCCAGAGGATGTTGTGAAGGCCAAGACTATAACAGGATTAAAAAAAGAATGATGTAAATTCATGGAGGATGGGTTCACCAATGACTATTATCCAGGATGGGCAAGGTGCTGTTCTTAGCCTCTCTTTGCCAAAATCTAGGAATGGGCAATGGGGAATGGATCACCTGATGATTATCTGTTCTGTTCACTCTTTTGGCCACTGTCAAAAGACAGGATAGTGGGATAGATGGATCTTTGGTCTGATCCCCCATGGCCATTTTTATGTTCTTAATCATCTATACTACTTCCTACCTATCCCCCTATTTGTTACATATTATTAATTTTTATTGAAACCATTATCAAAACAGTTATAGAAATTTTTCATTAACAGAAAACCCAGTTTTCAGTAAACAAAAAAATCAATGGCCATTCTGGTGACAACTGGGTGTCAATTTCACTATTATTCTTGAGGTAAAAAAAATCAAAAAATGAGTAGGTTCATTATGAACCTTGTGAAGAAGAAACAACATTGACTCTTCCAGGTATTGTTAATTAATAAAAAAATTAAATCAGATCCACACTGCACCTTTAAATGGGTATTTCAGAGTGCACAGAAGCAAAGATAGTATGATAATAGCAATCATAACTCTTTGAGCCACTTGCAGTCTTTAATTAGGAACCTCAAAACATCCCAAAGTGAGCTCATTTTACCGAGAGTCATCACTGGTACAGCCAGGAATAGAACCCAGGTGTCCTGATACCTATGGGTCATGCCATAACCCTATTTTTAACAAAGCTCAGAGAGGTAGCTCTGTGATAGAAATGTAGCCGTGTTAGTCTGGGGTAGCTGAAGCAAAATGCAGGACAATGTAGCACTTTAAAGACTAACAAGATGGTTTATTAGATGATGAGCTTTCGTGGGCCAGACCCACTTCCTCAGATCAAATAGTGGAAGAAAATAGTCACAACCATATATACCAAAGGATACAATTAAAAAAAATGAACACATATGAAAAGGACAAATCACATTTCAGAACAGAACGGGGATGCGGGGGGGGGAAAGGAAGGAAGGCAAGTGTCTGTGAATTACCTTCCTACCTTCCCCCCCCCTCCCCCCCCGCATCCCCCTCCTGTTCTGAAATGTGATTTGTCCTTTTCATATGTGTTCATTTTTTTTAATTGTATCCTTTGGTATATATGGTTGTGACTATTTTCTTCCACTATTTGATCTGAGGAAGTGGGTCTGGCCCACGAAAGCTCATCATCTAATCAACCATCTTGTTAGTCTTTAAAGGAGGTAGCTCTGTTAGTCTGTAACTTTAAAAACAAGCAGCCATCCTGTGGCACTTTAGAGACTAACAAATACCCACTTCATCTGTCGTGCAGCAGAAACCCACTGCATGAGAGTGCAATGACACCCCCGTGCTATGTCATGCCATGACCCGATGCTGGAGTACAGCTGCCAGTCTACACGGAGCAGGCGGGGTGGGAAGAGAAGGATCAGTCAGAATAATCTCCCTCTCCACCCGGCTTCTCCCCTGCCTCTGCCCACCCCTCCCCCTTTAAAAA